TGTGGCTCCAGGTTTCTGAATGAGTTGTGAATAATTTATTGGCAGTTAGATAACCTTTCAGAAGGCCCAAGCACAACTTGTCTTAGTAAAGGTAGACACCACATCAGTCATCCTCTTCTTGATTGCTTTGGTTATGACGGGGACGTGTCTTTTGGTACTTTGGGGAAGGGCAACAACGCTGTAGTATTCAAGTGGGTCTGGAACTGGCAGAAACACACGAGTAACTGTACATAAGCCAGTGGAACTCGTTACATGTACAAATCTTGGATATAAAAGCGTTTACGTAGGGCTGAATCCTCTTTGGTGGGATGAACAGTACAGTAAAACACGTTTCTGAATGGGGAAAGGCTTAAACCCATCAACCACAGGCTGTGCAGGGAAGTTCAGCCGCATGACAGCATTTTGTGGTGTATCGGTGCCCTCTCGGCTGTCTGCTCCAAAGAGCAAAGCAGCATTGCAAAATATTTTAATCGAGCCACCCTGGATCCCTTAGGAGCTGTAGCTCAAAGCTGACGATTTACACCTCTGCGACCAGATCCCTGAAGGCTACGCGCGATGCGCAGTTACAGGCCGGTGCAGAAAGCAAGCTTTTAAAGTCAGCTCGCGGTGTTGGATCGCCCGCGTGCCAGCAGTCGTACCCGTTAAGAGAACTCTCTGTTAAAAATCAGAAAATTCTAAATGGTGTTTCTGAAGGATTTACCATTTGTAGGTAAAATTTTTCTTCTTTCTGCCCCTCTGTCTCCCTTCTTCCCCATGTCCTTGTCTCCCTAAATTCTTCTCAGCTTTCTGACATACTACCCAGCCAGAAGAATTACTGCCGAAGACGGTTTGAAGCACGAGTATTTCCGAGAGACTCCCCTTCCTATCGACCCCTCCATGTTTCCCACCTGGCCAGCAAAAAGCGAACAGCAGCGGGTGAAACGCGGCACGAGCCCCCGACCGCCCGAGGGAGGCCTTGGATACAGTCAGCTGGTAAGCAGGGCAGAGCGAGGGGACCCACCCAGGCTCCTCATCTCCTCCAACATGGCCAAATCTCGATTTTTTGGCCAAGTTCCTGTGGGCTGCACTTGGTTTGGGGGCTTGGGATCCTGAGACTCCCCCGCAGTTGCATGAAGAGGGCACTAGAGCAGTCCAGCTTGGCCTCTGTTCCTTGTCAAAGGGCAGGGCCAAGCACGGTGGTATTCACAGAATTGTAATTTCAGTGTGTAATGGGAGAAAGAAACGACTCCTGGTTTTATCACAGGGCAGAACAATTTGTCTTTGGAAAGTGTCAATTGTTTTACGCCTGCAACTAAGCTCTCAAAGCTGCAAATTTATTTTTTTAAAAACTTAAAAAACACAAGGATTTCATCTCTTCACATGCACATAATTTTAAAGTTACGTGTCTCTTGCGGACAGAAACAGTCTCCTTTATCCAATATTTGGGGAAGAAGCCAAAAAAAGGCAAGGCAGGCGTTTGCTGTCTGTCTGCGGGGATTGTGCTGTGTTTTGGGAAAAAAAAAACAAAACCTGGCTGAAAAGACGCCCTTGTGAGGGTAGAGCATGTTCCAGTCTGAGGCACCTTAATGGTACCAACTTCTTGTTACCATTGCCACGTCCCAGCCCAGCTGACACGGCACTGGACAGTTTCTGCGCCCAGTTTAACAGGTGAAGTAGCCTTAGAAGTTTATTTAGCCTTGATTTTTTTTTTCCAGGGTATATCAGAATTGCCGTGGAGGGCACGCAGAGCGTGCGCCAGCAGATGCTGGATCAGTGCAGTTTGTGCACGTACTTACGCAGCGCGCTCACAAGTTTGTGTCCCCTTTCACACGTGCAGTCACAAGTAGGTGTGCAAACTAGGAATGCCCTGGAGACGCCTTTAGAGAAGGCAGTGGTCAGAGATTAACTCTGCCTCGGCCTTAGCTGCGCAACGGTGGGTTCGCAGCTCCTAGAGCTGCTTTGATTTCGTGTCGTCGTTGTTTAGATTTTTGTGGTGGAGAGGGAAAAAGGCATCTGCAGGGGCACTGATGAATGACGGGTGATTGGTTTCCACAGGGTGATGACGATCTGAAAGACACAGGTTTTCATCTGACCACTACAAATCAAGGAGCATCTGCTGCAGGACCTGGTTTCAGCCTCAAGTTTTAAACTCAACGTGGAAAAAAAAAAAGAAAAAAGGGGGTTTAAGGAAAAACCAGAGACCCGTTCATGTGAGTGGATTTCTGAGCGCCCCAGTTCTGTTCTTCGCGTCAGGGAGACTGATGTTTTTCACAGGGAAAAAGTCAAATGTCATCACGGAGTCAAAGGCTCTTGCCGGGTGTGGAGTATAACTAACTGCTGCATTCCATGACAGGATTGGAATTAACCTGAAAAGCCAAGGATCATTACAAAATTTGACAAAGGAAAACTTGAAGTACAATCCTGGAACAGTTTCTGGTTTATTTTTAGGGTTTTTTTTTTTCTGTTGAGTTTCTTTTGTTTTGTTTTGTTTTTTTTCCTTGTAAATTTGTAGAATTAAAATACATTTTTAATTGTTTATCAGTGTGAAGGATTTCATTTCTTCACCTGCAGCAAACTTGGATGTTGGGGGCATTAAGGCTTCTAGAGTGGTAACGCATTCTCCCCCAGAGCGGGGCTGACACCAGCGCAGTAGCGTCAGCCTGGGCAAACGACTTTTTGTTTTTATTTAAAGTAAATTGTGTGTGTCTGAATGTAGTTGGGGCAAAAACCCCATAACTGTTCTGAGGTTTCGTTCCTGGTGTGGGCCGTGGAGAGCGGCGGGCTCGGTGCTTGCTGACAGTATCTTTTGGGCGCCCTGTTTGATGTGTGTGTACGTGTATTTACAGTGGCAGCGGTGCAGAAGACGTACTCTATTGTTTTATAAATCAAACAGCTTTAATATGGAGACTTGAAACTTTATTTTCTATAGAAAGTTCTTTTAAATACACCCTTTTTCCATAAAAAAAGAAGAGCTTCGCTCCATTGATTGCTGTATTCCAGTCCTTTCTCCTAAGATGAAAGACCAGCGGGATCACGGAATATCACATCCTTCTGCGTCTCTGATTTATACTGCTGTCCTTCTTTTCTGGGAAGAGGAAGATCTGGAAAATGCTGGGGTACTTGTGCAATTGGAACTGGGCACCAGCCCAGTAAAAGGATTAACTTAAATTATAAACATTCTATTGGTTTCAGTACGTTTTAAGAGCTTTTCTGGGTAAAGGCCTTGGAACCGGAATGTGGATGTATTAAATTGTGGTAAAGTTTGAAACAAGGAGGTTGGGGTTTTTGTCTGTGGAGGAATGCAGAACTGTTTTCTCTTTAGGCCTGACTGATGGCCTGGTACTGAAGGACAAACAGTTCTGTGGCTGCTCTGGGAACTGAAGAACGCGGGATTTTTAGGGGGATTTCTCACAGCTGGAGCTCAATGACCACTGGAAAGCAGCGGTTTTGCAACACCCCACCAGGCCCGGGAAAGGCGAAGCCCCTTTGCCACGGCCTGTGCCAAGCTCTAAAGGATCAGACCCTATTTATCTCACGCCGCGCTGCGCATCTGCACGCTGGGAATTTACTTCCTCCGGAGCGTCCTTGGCGCTGCTGCAGCCAGGGCGGGCAATGCTGGGAGGTCCTTGTTCCTGACAAAAAGGATTATTTGTCTAAGTTGGGGTAGTTTTAGTAAAATATAAAAACCTAAGGCTGGATTGCAATGGAAAGGTAGCGTGGTTATGAGCGAGATGTGTAACTCCCGGTTTGGTTGTAGGCAGGAACCGCCAGCTCTGCCCGAGGGGCGCAGCGTTGGGCGGTTACTGCGGTTCGGCTTCTCTTTGGTCTCAATTCCCTTATTTTTTGCGTACAGCGCTTGCCTTTCACGGTCCTGAGCGTCGTTGTCCACGCAGAGCCGCACTTCTAAGTTTTACGCTGTACTCTCGGCTGACTGTGACTGCAAACCTGGAGCAGAGGCGGATTTTGCCGCTGGAGCCTCTCTGCTGTGATACAGAGGGCTTCCGAGGCTGCTGCCCTACTCTGCAGCCCTTCGGGTGCCTGGAAGTAGGAAGAAACTCGTTTTGAGAGGCGAAGAGGAGAACTAAAAGGGTGAACCCGGGCCAAGAGCGATGTGGGCGGCGTTAATACGGGATAAGGCTCTTGCCGAGCGTCCTGACTGCCAGGGGTTCCTCACGGCGCAAATGAGGGCTCCACCGCTGCAGCCACCCGGCCCTGGGCTTCGCCCGCCTCCACTAATGCTGTTTCCCTGGTGGAAGCGGCACATTGACCTCATCGCTTGGGTCACTGGGCAGGACAGGGATGAAAGGCAAGAGGCTTATTGGGCAGACACCTAAAGGACAAGTCGTGAGGAGCTGCTGATGGCGGTAAAGGCTCTGTTGGGGTAAGATTACACAGGTAATAAATACAAATCGGGGGAAAAAAAAAACATTCTGTGGGTATTTGAATGTGTTGAAATGTGGAGTAATTAGAAAGGGTTTGTTGTGACCCTGCATCCTCCTTCTGACAAGTAAAAAAAAAAGTAATATTAGGTCTTACACTTTTTTTACAAGTTCTTCTAGTTCTATGCAGCAGGATCTAAAAAAATGGCAGCAAAACACTTACAGAGTGTAACAGGTCATTTTCCTTCCACACTACCTCTGCCTCCCATTGCAGCACAGCCGAGCTGTCAGTCTGTTCATCCATTTGGCTGATGAAGAGTTACATTCTTGGGTTTTCAGCAGTCCGCAGCGATCCACATGGTTTAACTGCAAAATCTGGCACTTCACTTTTTTTTTTTTTAAAAAAAAAAGAAATCTTTAATTCTCTGTACAGCACGTACTTGATAAATTCTGTATCATTAAAACCGATTTGCAAAAGTTTCATGTTCCAGTAATCGGGTCTCAGAGTCTCTTTTGCCCAGGGCATGGAAGCGGCTGATTTAGAAGTTCCGTTGCGCTACGGGAGATCATCAAACGCCAAAGAAACATTCTGAATTTGAAACAGAACGAGCAGTTAGTGAAGTGCTCGTTCCGAGGCCCTTGTTAGTGCTTCAGTCTGATTCTCCAGGAATAAGTAGTCAAGATTCTTTCTTTTTTCTTCACTATACAAGTGTAAGTTCCTTCATTAATTGCATTTGCAATGATGCTCATGTGATCTTCGTTTAAGGACAGGTAACCTGGATATGAGTATTCCAGAAGCTCCTTATCTTTATACCAGCTGTCATAAGAAAGAGAATAGAAATTAAACCACACCGTGTCTAGTACAATGCAGTATGTGTTAGGGGTTCTTGTTTCTCCTAGTAAGCAAGTTCTGCTGAGCAAGGCTGCAGCACAGCAGGGACTTGAACAAAACAGGGTTCAATTTTACGATGTGGCAGTTGTACCAGGGCCCTGTCCTGAGAAATTTCTGAGCTTGAGTCTTACTGAAAGTTGATGGGAATTCGGGTTCTCAGTCTGAACTAACTCATGGACTTGGGTGTATCTCTCTCAATTTTAGATACATCCAGAAAGAACAGGCTGTTATATTAGCCAGGGCTAACAATCTATTAGCTGAAAGGGTAAATTAAAGTTTTTTGCAGAATATGGGCCAGGGAATTTGACTTGATGGTAAGAATTATCTTTGCTACAGAGGTGCATTGGATTTTATCCTTTTCCAACTCAGCTTGCTCGCTGCCGCTAGCTCTGCTTTCAGACTAAACGCTTTGCAATGCTGTGGGGAGCAGGATTTGCACACTCCCGTCTCACAGGCAGCCAGCCACCCCTCTCTCTGCTCTGGTGCCCAACGCGACAGCGACGTGCTCCAGGAGATACGCTGCACCCCTGTTTACGCTGTTCTGTCATCCTTCCTCATCCCTTTCGGGATGTAGGCCACCAAGTCTCCTAAAGGACTGGAATAAATGATCGAGCACTTACTAGACTTTGCCTTTTTTATGAATTATCTTCTGTCCGCAGCGGAAGGTGACATTCCTGCCTTCAGAAACAGTTTTGGTCTTTGTCCTTGGCGGGGGCAGAGTAGGGGGGACCGTGGGAAATGGGAATTCTGTCCACCAGAGGGGAGAGAAAGAAATGGCCAAAGTTAAAAGGTTGTCATTATTGAGCTTTAAGTCATTCCAAAACACTTTCACAGAAAACCTTGAAAGTATTCATTTAAAAATGCCTCCTACTGGGCAATTCTTGGATCGACAGGTAACGTTATTCATATGCAAATATAACAATTTTGTGGCATGTAACCTGACAGAGATGGGTAAAAATCTTCCCTGTTTCCTGTCTATGGAAGAGCACATTCAGTATGGGAGCAGTCCCATACTGAATTATCTGACTGAAGCCTGGCATTAATCTGGTCTAAAAAAATACCTCTGTACTGGAAAAAGAGGTAGGAGTTGTACGGCACGTCTTAAGGTCAGTAGGTCTTGATCTGAAGCTTAATTCCGCAGCTGCAGTAACTCGACCTGATCCTGCCTTAGTCCCGTACCTGGATCCACAAAACTGAGAGACTAGATAAGGTGATTAACACACTTGATCTCATTTTCTGCAGAACTGCTCAAGTCCAGCCGTGCTGGAGATGTCATTTGTCTTGTTTATGGCCCGGCACTGCGGCAGGAGCTGTCCTGCATCACTCAGCTCTGAATTCAACACATCGGCATCTCGCTTCGGTCCGAAAGGGAAGCAGCCGGAGGCACACGGCGTGGCTGCGTTTCCAGAAACTCCCTGTCATCGGTTCAGTTAAACCAGAGAAGAACGGGACACTCTGATGTTCTAGTCCACAAATGCTGCTCCCTATTTCCAAGCCTTGATCTCGGCTCACGCGTACCAGCGGCCGTCGCTGCTGCGTTGCTCATTAGAGCTGGACGGGGCCAGTCGCTTCCACCCACTGAGCTCTCGCATGGAATTAAGGTCCTGCCTCTCCCTGCAGCAAACACTCCTGAACTGTTAACCTCCTCCCTCTGTGCAAACCCCACCCAGGAGCCCAGAAGTTCGGTACCATAGCAGAAGTCACAGGTGGAGGGACAGTGCTTCTTCATCAGCTTCCTGCGTTTCTCGCAGAAACCTTTTTGTCCCCACGCTGGGCACATAAATAATCTGTCTTTACAGCCTGAAACGGAAGGAGACAAGGCATGAGGGGGATTGGGATGGACAGTTCCCTCTGAGAAACAAACTGACACTTCGTCTACATCAGCTTGTTCGGTGTAAAGGGTCGAGCCGGGAGACAGGAAAGACCCAACAGGAGTGCAACAAATAGCACGAGGTGCCACTACTGTATGAGCAGGGGGGCTGGATCCTGAGCTACATTCATGCAGTAACATCAGTGACTCAAGAGAGTTGCTGTTTTTAAGTCCTACACGAGGTAACGTTTGAAGAGTGGCAGAGCTTGAGAGAACCTTGCCGCAGCCCGTTTGCTTTGTGGGGAGTTTTGTCATCGTGCGTTAATGCAAGAGAGTAACTAACAGCGGGTTTGCCTTCCCCTGCCCTTGCACATGGGCTTTCCCTTTCCCCTTCTGCACGTCAGGGCTCTCCACGGCTAAAACTGCCCTTTTATCTTGTATAAGCCAAAGGGCAAAAGGCCCAGAGAGTCCCTGCCCAGAGGGTGGGAGCACAGGCACGGGGCCTGCGCCTCTGCTGGAGCAGCTCCCAGCAGTCCGAGGACACAGCGTGCACTGACCCCTCTGAAACCTGTTCTCAGAACCACCATCTGCGGAGGCGGGAAGTCTGTAAGACTTCCAGCCTCCTGCCTGTCACAGCTGAAGCTGCTAGTGCTGGAAAGGCACTGTGCTACAGCTCCTTTCAGCTCTGCTTTGCACAAAAAAAAGGAGTAAGATCCCCCCCCTGCCTACTGCTCCCTGGCTTACAGCCTAGTCCTGCCAACCGAGGGTCTCACACCAGGAGGGCTCCACAGGATCCAGGGGATGCCTGAGGCAAACCTTTACTGCCTTCCTTACCGTAAAGTCTGTGGATTCCCCAGACTTCATCCTGAGAGATGGTCTTTTTCCCAGTCAAAGTGGCATTGATGTGCATGAGGGCGTTGGGGTTCAGGGAGTGCATGAGTCCTAAGGCGTGTCCTATCTCGTGAGCTGCGACGTGCACCAGATCCGTAAGCCAAACACCTGGAAGAGGAACGGAAGAAGAGCTGGCACTGGGCGGTGGAGCACGTTTGCCAAGCCTGGTGTAAAACCAGAGGAAATAATTTTAGCACTAGGACGGTACGGTCGTATCAGAGGTTGCCCCAGTTTCATCTGCTCTGTAGCTGCCTGGGTGCAAACAAGCGAACGATTTCCACGTGCCTCTCGTTTCAAGCAGCGGGACACAGAGCAGCAATGCCAGACTACAGGAGGGCTGCTCTGACAGAGAGAGCAATGTTTGACATGAAGGCGAGCGCCCCACGTAATACCGCTGCTCGTCAGCTTTCTGCTTTGCTCCCACAGCCCTGAGCTGTAACTGGAAACGGCTGCTTGGGAACGAGATGGCTGGCTGGAATATTCCAGTCTGAAAAAGCCTCTGCATCCCCCATAGGTCAGACTCGAGTTTCTCGGTAGCATGGCGAAGCCTGCTGCCAGCAGCGAGGGATTTTAACTGAAGGCTGACTCACCAGGGGTGTTATTACTAACACCTACCTCGGTATCTTGCACAACGACAGGCCACGAGAACCTCACACTGTTCCTGTGATAAATCCAACTGCTTATGGAAAGGAGGCATCTGAAAGGGGGAGCTCGCACATGTGCTTAAGTTGCCGGTACATTAACCAGGAATCCCTAGTGGGTGGATTTTATTGGGCTCTTCTTAAAGACTTCTGCTAAATCTCTCTGACGTGACTCGGAAGAACAAGGATTTCCTTCTGCTTTGTTCCCATCCTTCTTTATGCTAATGCAGCTTTGGAAAGAGAAGCAAGCGTTGTGCAGAAGTATTAATCGTCTCGGCCTCACGCTGACCTTCTGAAGCCAGAAGTGTCATTACTGCTTCACAGAGGTGACTGGATTGTACGCAAACCAACTGCATGACTGCCTCCATATGAAAGAATAGAGTTACACTGCCATGACAGGGAGTCAGTGGCAGAGCTGGCACTCAGGACACTGATTTATTCCATAATCCTCATAAAACTTCACTAAGAATCACGATTTGCAAGTGCCTATCCCTGTTTCAACAGCTGCTTGCAGAAAAACAGGGTTAGAAAAACACACTGGTCCCTGATAACTCTGTAACTCCGAGGCATAGGTTTGTTACCAAACTCTCTGGTTTTTATTTTCCCTGACAACCACTGCCAGTTGATACAGTTCACAGACTTCAGAAGTTTGATAGTGAAAGGCATCTTTTCAAAGCTGAATATTTTGCAAAAATGTAATCTGACCGGCTCTTTTCTCGATACGCACTGACATTCTTGCTTTAAAAACCATCTCTACTCGGTCTTTGGCCCTAGATCTCATCTGCTGCTGTGCTTTGGAAAACAAGAAGGATGGGAGAAGTCCCTCTCTGTCACTTAAAATCTCCCCCACCACCACCTTTTTATTTGGTGAAAAGCAGAATATCCTACGTTCAAAAAAAGTACTGAGTTGGTCATATAATACGAACCGAATTTGCCAGTTAGTCAGGGACCGTCTGCTTTTAATTAAAGGTTAGCTTTGATACTGCTTTAACAAGAAGAAAAAAAACCCAAGTTGTAAGTAACAGACATTTTGAGGTGCCCACAAACCCAAAAATGACTATGGACCCAGGAGAACAAAGGTGAGCAGCCGTGCCAGCAAGCTGAAGCAATACAAAGTGACCCTTCTCAGCCACTTCTCACCTGCCTGGGCAGAAGCCAGATGTCGTTACGGAGTACGTGGCTGAACTGTCCAGTGAACTATTCAGAGAGGGACAGCCCTGCCACCAAGCACGCTCCCTTACAGCAGCGCAGTGCGTGACAGTAAGACCAACAACCTTCCAAAACTACAGGAAAATCACAACCATTTCAGTCGTCCCTTTCCTATCACACCAGGTCAAACCGCAGAACAAGCGCTGAAATACAAATCCCTACGGGCACTAATCATGTGCTCCCCGGGACACGCGCGTGTTACCTTTTTTCCAGCTGAACCGGGTATTCCCCAATATCCAATACTCGTGGTCATCAAAATGGATTTCCCCGTTGGGCGGGAAGAAGGCGTGGGCAAGTTCCCCTGTCGTTCCATCGAAGCAGTGGTGAATGAGAGACTCCAGACAGTCTGTGTGATTGATGGAGTAGAAGCCTGTGGATAAAGCAGCGGATTTAGCGTAGCTGGCAGGGTCAGCCCACCCAGGACAGAGTCATCTGTAAACTCGTGGTTTACTAAAAAACATCTCTCATGGTACCCCACGTGGGTTCCAGCCTAGAGAGCCACAAATGCGCAAAGCAATCGTGGGGGAACGACGGCTGCGTGATGCAAACTGAGCCCTGCGACGGCCCTGGGTTCAGAGCTGTTTCCAACGGACACAAAGGAGTCTGCTTTCCAGAAAGGAACGCTGAGCTCTTCTTGCAACGTCACGTGGAACTGTTGTTTTGGGTTTTTTTTTCTGGGGGGGGAGGGGGAGAAGCTGGGCAGCGAGAGGATAACCCCAGGAATTAATTGTTCCATTTTAAACATAAATAGCCTGAAAGTCAGAGCTGCTGGCTGTCTTTTTTTTTTTGCTAGCATCGTGATCACAGCGTACCCTGCGCCCACTGGAACTGGGCCACCTGGAGCCCACGTGGCAGCCGGACAGACCCCTGGGAAGGGGTATCACGTGCCTGCAAGGAGCGCCATGCAACACCAGATTGCGAAACAACGGTAAATCTCCCGGTTATCTCAGCGTTGCTGCCATCTGCACAGGAAATAATTATTTCCCACAGACCATAAATCCCGGGAAGAATTTACATCTGGGGTTGAGACGGAGCAGATAACGCCTCAGCACTAACATTTTTCTAGGCCTGAGAGACTCAGGAAGTAACTACTGCACAGAGATACAGGGGCAGAAGGAAGGGGAGGGGAGAGAGGACAGAGAAAAGCTGGTGCTTCGACAGGATCAGCAAAAAGGAGACTAAAGCCATAAACAAACTGGAATCCGTCACCCGCTCTTTGGCTCTGTGTGACCTTGGATGCGTCATTTCACCTTTCAATATTCAGTTTCCCCGTCTGAGATAATCCTGTCCCCGTGGCAGATTTTGAGGGTTAATTCTTGTCAAATACCTAAAGGTTCCCAGGACGTGTTAATTATGACATTAACACCTCTTCAGAGCAACTAAAAGTAGTTTCTCTACCTGACTAAAGGCAAAACATGCCCCGGGTTCTTGTCCAAGAGGCCCTGCTGAGCCCATACAGCAAAGGAGTTCTGTCTCCTGCCTCTGAACTCCTGGTTCACGCACTGAAACTCCAGAAGCCCCTTGTGGAGTTAACCTGCACAACAGAGTCCCGTCAGTCCAGCAGCCCATGCAAGTCTTACCTATTTTCAAGTCACTAGGGACGTGGCGCGGCACTTCTCTGAAGCTGAACGGCGAAACCTCACTCCACATTCGGAACGCAGCCGCCAGTCCCCTGCGCGTGTCCCTGGCGTTTATGAGGTTCCTCGGAAAGGACAGGATTCTGTAGGAACACAGGACAACTTCAGGAAAAGGCCATTCCCTTCTCCAACATCAGCTGAAGGCTCTCAAGGCTGCATCAGACAATCAGGTCTTTCCATTCGCGCTAACAGGTTCCAAACAGTAGCAGCTTGAACTGGGTATTAAGAGTATTTAATAAAAACCCCACAGGGACTGATATATTAGTGATATCCTTTACAATCACATGTTCTGGACTACAGCTTTTGTCCCTCCTCGAGCCCATCGTTTTAGACCAGGTTCTCCTGGAAAACCATTTTTATCCTAACATCTCCCAGGCTGTTGCATTTCCTCCACAACTGCATTTCGGCAGCAGACCAGGTAACTCTGATGCTAACGCTTGGGCTACGCGCTGAATTAGAAGACTCTCAGGCAGAACTTTCGGAGGAGGGTTCCAAAGAATATCAAAGGTTTGGTAGTAAAAGTAGTTATTTCCTTTGGGAAAAAAAAAAAAAAATCTCATTGCTTGGGAGACTCGAGAGGTTTTTGCTTAGGCCACAGGTACAGATACAGCTGAACCGTAAGAAAACTACTGGTGCAGGATGGCAGACCCATGGAAACGTACAGATGGCTCCTAGAAACTTACCTTGTCCCAAAAGAAGATCTGCATTCAGGGAATTGCCTGAAGTGTAGCAATTGGGAAAAGCTGTGAATATTCTGCTATCCCCTCTGGTTGTTTTTTAGCTATGCTGTTTATGTTCTCCCTTCGTCCCAGCACATCCTAAAGGGAGCAGAAGGTTTCGTATCAAGCCAGGCTGTTAATGAGGGTAAACCTGGACAATTAAGACTATCACGAGGCTTAGCCTGTGGGGGACGAGCGCAAAGGGAGATACGTTCTCTGCTCAGGGTGGAGAGCCCGGTTCAGGCCGCCCGCTCGTTCCTCGTGAGGGCCGACAGGCAGAACCAGCCCCTGCTGTCCAGCTGGAAGCCGACGCGTTGTGGCCGGCACCGCAGCATCACCCAGGCCGCCGCCGCACGCCGAGCAGACGAGGCCAGTGACAGGGGGACGAGACTTTGGTGCGACAGCTACCCGGCAGCACCAGCCACACCTTCCAAACTACCTTCCCGGCCTGCGTTTGGTGACCTTCAGATACTCCCCTCCTGCCTCTGGGGAGAAGAAAGGGGCTAGCGTGGAGCTCTCAACGGACGCAACCGCTGCTGTCCTGCTCACCCCGCTTGCCCTCCTCGCTCCGTACCCCCACCGCCTCAGGCAAACCCACGGCAAACAGCTCAAAATGCCTGCCTTCGCTCTTTGGTGGCGACAGGAAACTCTCCCGCCCCTTACAGCCACAGTCTGGCCGGTTTTTGAGCACCAGAGAGCGAGAGAGGCCCTCGCAGCTCCACCACGACGTCCTCAGCCCAATGCCAAGACAAAGCTGCGACACCCAGTGCTGCTGCCGGAGGCCACTTCCAGGTGTTTTCAGACAGAGCTGCCATTCAGAGTGACGGCAGCTCTCTTGAGGGGTCACAGCTGGGACTTGCTCTGCACTTTACAGCCAGGAGTGGCTGGAGTTGGCAGCCGCGCTGAAAGCACCTTGAAGTAAGACGTTGAACGAAACCTGTTTGGCGCCTGCGTCTCCAGGAAGGTGCAGACTCAGCCAGGAGCGAGCCACAGGCCTTTCTCCAGTCACACCTCCAGGCCTCCTGCTGGTCTGAGGTTTCCTGTGACAGTCTGACTCTACCTGCCAGCCTCATCCTACGAAACCATTTCCAAGGGGATTCCTTGAACCTTATTCTGCCCAAACTCGCGTTAGCTCTCCTGGAAAACATTCAGTGACGCCATTAATCTTTTCCCGGAGGAAAAAAGCATCTTTTCAGGATGCTGCCACCACCGCCCATCACGCTGGACAGTCTCAGGGGCTGTTCAGCCGCTGCTCAGGAAGAGCTGCTCCACGGGGAAACCCCAAAGAGGATCAACGCTGCGTTATGCCAGTGGTAGCAGCAGAGCCAGACAGCAGCAAGAAACAACAGTTCAGTGGGGAAATCCGTAGGACCCCATCAACTTTGGCTCCGAACAGCCTGCTTACTGACAGTAGGACTAGCACTGCACCTTTCCAAAGCTCCATCATATCAAAACCAGACCACGCTACTGCTGGAGGG